TTGAAAATCAATTTTACCAAATCTAATAAAAACCCGGTAATACAAATCCGACCACATCAAACTATGTTTGAGCCGGATACAGGCAACATTGTAATGCTATTAAAAAGTATAATGTGCTACGTAACGATCTTGATGAAATTCCAGTTAGAACATTGCATGAATTTAAAAATATATTAGTTCAACAAATTCATCGCCAATTGTCATTAAATTTTGTCAAGATGGGAAGAAAAGTGTTATCAGTTCCGTGTACTGAAAGCCTATTTATTGCTGTTTTTAAAGGTTACATTCATCAATTTTTAAATAATCCACAAGTGTATAAATGCAGATTTCATGGTGAATCTGCATATTCGACTTTAGTACAAATTTTGGAAGATCCTAGGTGGGGTCAAAAAAATTATAATCAAAATCAACAAACATACGTCGTTTTGGAACAACTATTGAATAATGACATTGATCCTCTTGAGCAATTAAATAATCAAAATAATGACATCGATCCTCTTGAGCAATTAAATAATCAAAATAATGACATCGATCCTCTTGAGCAATTAAATAATCAAAATAATGACATCGATCCTCTTGAGCAATTAAATAATCAAAAAAGGAAAAGAAAACCTAAATTTTTCCGTGGTGAACTTCTGGTCGAATGGAAAAAAAAAATTATTAAGGAAATAGATGGACATACTTGTATAGCAGGATTTGTATACTTATCTTTTTTTATTTCACAAAGATATGTACTTAATGAGTAATCAAATTATTGTATAACTAAATCTATTGCCTAATTAGGGTTTTTAAATGCTTGTTCGAACTTAATTGATTCCAGAAGTCGAGTTTTAGAACGTTCTCAAGTGCTTCAATCAACGGATCAAAGTATGTCAAAAATGTATCAGGAATTAAATTTTAGTTAGTGATAAGTATTTTTAATCAATCAATCGAGCTTGTCATTAAGTAAGGGCAGTTTATACGTGGAAGAAAAAATTTTAAATAGTAAAAAATGAACAGTAAGTTTACCATTTCAGTCAAAAAACGTTTTGCCCGAATCACTTTTTTTGCGCTGACTTATCAGAACTTTATAACTATTAAAGTGAATATAGTATTGCTCAAGCATTTTCATACTTTTATTATGTTTGATAAATTATTTAGAATCCTCTCAAGCAGTGATTGAGATCTTTATTTTGATCTATCGTTGCAATTGAACATCGCTACAATTATTAGAAACCACAGTAATAATAATGCTTAAGCGTATCTCAATAACATCGTTATTTCTATTATTGACTTTTATCTAAAATATTGTGCCAATAGCTAAAACTACGCCATAATACTTGTGCACTATTTCAATCGCTATGAAATGGCGTCTAGGTTATGCTTGAAAGCACTCTTAATTAGGCTTTGACTATTGGGTTTAAGCAATTCGATATGAATACATATATACAAAATAAATGCTTATATATCGCGAGAATCACAGACTCATGATCATTAAAGTCACTGACGCTGATATGAAGTCATAAGTTCAATAATATTAATAATATAATTACGAAATAAGGTTTATATATTACACAATTTTATATAATACGAAGTTTTTTAGTTTTTTGCTATACTGAAAGATCATTATATATATGAAAAAGGTTTCGTGACTCACATTCTAAAATTTCTATTATAGCCGGATTTTTTTTAAGAGGATTTCCACCATTTAGAGTAGTCTTTCAAAAAAAATAAGAGATATGCATATGATTTTTTTTTTCTACTGCACTGCAAGAAAATGCTTTTAATCTCCATTGTCTATGATTTTGATGTAGTTCCCACCCATGAAATACCAAAAAGTGAATATAGAAAGTTACATGCGTCGGCAAATAAAGACCTTTGATAATATTACGTGGGTCTTTTGGATCTTTTTCATCCGGTTTTAAAAAAAGTTTTAGCCATTCAAGAGCTAAATGTTTTAAATAGAAAGGATTGCTATTTTGATTACATATTGCCTTATGCAATTTAATAAAATTGTCCCACAATGATCGGATTAACCTGGCCCAACTTGGATGAAATAGCGTTTCTAAATTAAAATATTGTAGCACCTTAATTTTATCACTACCGCTTAATGATGTATGTTTCCATATATTGGATTCTTCCCAAAATTGGAATTTAATATTAAGTCGATTCATCTCATTTACAATAATTTGGCGACTAATATTATTAAATAAATTTCGTTCTTTAATTTCTGATAACATTAGTGACCAGAGTCGATCTTCAATTCGCAGCAAAACATACAACTCATCAAATACGTAATTAGATAAAGGAATCATGTCAAATAATGGTGGTTTAACATGGCCCGGAATATTAAAGTCGTTATTTTTTAGATCGTCCATTGACTTTGTTATTCTTTAATTTTGTATTACATCTCCAATTTCCTGCTTAGAGCAGAGACACCAGGCACAAAAATGTTTAGAATTCGTGGCATTCAGACCAAGACAAATTGCAAGGAACTTCCAATCGCTGCTAAAGTAAAACTCAAACTGCCATAAGATATTTGCGACCTCTAATCCATTAAGCTTAAGATCTTTAAAATCGTTAAGAAATGGGCTTAATATGAATTTAAGAGATTCATATTTTTCGACTCTCAGATATAAAGCAACAGTATGATGGTAACTAGGTATATAGAGATTTTTTTGATCATTAAGAACCGTAAATGTAACCATAACATGCTTGACTTTTCGCCCAACATTTTGACCATCACCAGAAATTCACAAATGGATTATTGGATTATGAGCTGATAATATGTTTTTATGCAACAAATGAGGAATTAAATATCTAAGTATTCCTTTACAATTACGGTTTCCACCTATATCCATAGAATTCATAATATTATTAATTGTATCAGAATCTAAATTATTAGGTTCATTATCTAAATTATCGAATTCTTCATCTATATTATTGGAATCTTCATTCATATCAGAACTCTCCTCCGTTATAATTGTATTCATATTAATAAGTTTAATCAGAATACCTTTAGCCATTTCTTGAGTTAAGTTATTTCATTCATTTGCAACAGTGTATTCACGTGGTAAGTGATAATTTGTTGCCACCAAATTTCGATAAGCATCTTGTGAAATATAACTTGAATCCATTACATTTACTATACTTAAAAGTTTGGCCTTTTTTTGTGCAGGATTATCCTTTTCAAAATTAATAAAATAATTTTGATTATTGATGATATATTCGAATGACTTTAATTTAATGAAGTTCTGGTTATGGTAATTAGATTTTATGCTCTGAATAAATGTTTCTTTGATTGTTGTTGTAACTATTTTTGCGTGATGATTAAGTGATGGTTGCGAATATTGATCGGCTTTTAACTAAATGTTTACCACGAGATTTTCTAGCTTTATTAAGTGTTTAAAGCTATAATCCAAAGAGTAGTGGCCCAGATAGAGTACTTTTTTTGTCTAGATTTACTGCCTATAAGTAGAATTTTATTTAAAATAAAGAGGAACTGTTAGTGATGAAAATGCTAATAATCAGGTGCTTATACGAAGAAATATTTAAACTCAATGTGATATAATCATGTGATTTTTTTTAAAAAAATTATTTTAATATCATACCTTATCATACTCTGTTGCGACCTTGCTAGCTGACTCATCTGATTTGAGTACATGTTTAAAAGATGGGCCAAATAAAATTCGAAATTCTGGACGTCCATTCTTATATTCAATTTCACATTGAACTGTTCGTTGATTTTTTCTATGTCCCCAGGTGGTTTTTACAGAATAGTTATTAGGAATTGGGTATGCTTTAGGAGGTAATATATAATAAAGTATAGAAGAATATG